GACAGTTCCATGAATGGCCCTGGAAAACAGGGATGATTCTTGAGGCATGTCTTAAAAACCAGCGATATTTATGGGGACATCTCTTGAAAGCCAAGGATATTTATGGACTGGCTCTTGAAAACCCAGGACACCTATAGGGACATTCATTAAAAACGAGGGACATACCTTTAAAAAGAAGAACAATGATGAGGACAGCCCTTCAAAACCAGGAACATTTGATAGGCAAAGCCCTACAAAATCAGACCTTTCCTAGGGCAGTCCTAGAAAACAGGAATAATTCCTGGGATGACCTTTCAAGCCCTAGGAAATTTATAGATACTGACCTTGAAGTCCAGGATATTTATGGGGAAGGTCCATGATAACCAAGGACATTTATGGAGACAGGCCCTAAAAACCAGGGACATTTATAGGGATGACCCTTGAAATCTAGGGACATTTATAGGGGCATCCTTTGAAAACTAGGAACATATATGGGAAAGGCCTTTAAAAATCATTGAAACCTAACGGAAAATTTCTAGGGGCAACCCTTCAAAACCAGGGACATTTCCTAGGATGGCCCTAGAAAAGAGGAGCAATTCCTGATCTAACCCTTCAAAGCCATGAACATTTATGTGTACGGCTGTTGAAATTCCAGGATATTTATGGGGAACATCCTTGATAACCAGGGACATTTATAGAGACAGTCCTTGAAAAACAGGGGCAATTATGGGGGCAGCCCTTGATATCTAGGGAGACATTTAAAGGGACATCCTTTGAAAACAACCAACATTAAAGGGGATGGCCCTTAAAAATCATGTACACATATGAAGACAATTTTTGGAAACCATGGAAACCAGGGAAATTTATGGTGACAACCTGGGAGATTTATTAGGATGGCCCCATTTGAAAATCGGGGACATTTATAGGGACGAGTCTTGAAAAATCAGGAATTTTTATAGGGCCAGTCCTTGAAAACCAGACACATTTATGGGGACAGCCCATGAAGACCACGTACTCATACCGGAATGACACTTCAAAACAAGAACAGTGATGAGGACAACCCTTCAGTGATGGCCCTGGAAAGCTAGAATATTTTCCTGGGGTGACCTTTCAACATCAGGGACAACCATATAAAACTAGGGATGGCCCTAGAACACCGGGATCATTATGGGAACAGGGACATTTAGGGATGACCCTTGAAATTTAGGGTCATGCTTGATAAACCAGGAATAATTATGGGGAAGACCCTTGAAAAACATGGAGATCTATGGGGACAATCCTTTAAAACCTAGGACAGTCCTGGAAAACAAGAACATTGGAAACCGCAATATAAAACCAGGAACATTTATAAGGAATATCCTTGAATTCCAGGAACAGTTATGGAGACAGTGTTATAAAAGCAGGGACATTTATAGAGATGGACCTTGAAAACCAGGGATTTTCTTAGGGACAGCACTATAAAACCAGGATATCTATGGGGACATCTCTTGAAAATCAGGAGTATTTATAGGGCCGGCCCTTGAAAATCATGTAAATCTATGGGGGCAATCTTTGAAAACAAAGCAAATTTCTGGGGAAAACCCTTCCAAACCAGCAACTGGTCCTAGCTGGCTGGCCCTAGAAAACTGGGGATGACCCTATGAGCCCAGGGACATTTAAGGGAATGACCACTGAAAATCCAGGATATTTATGGGGACAGCCCTTGAAATCCAGGATATTTATGGGGACAGCCCTTGAAATCCAGGGATATTTATAGGGACAGCACTTGAAAACAAGGGACATTTATGAGGACGGCCCTTGAAAATTACAGACATGCCTGGAAACCAGGGGCATTTATGTGGACAGCCCATGAAGTCCAGGGACATTTATGGGGCTGGCTCATGAAGACCAGAGACATTTATGGCGATGACCAATGAAAATCCAGGATATTTATGTGGACAGCCCTTGAAATCATAGACATTCCTGGATTTATGGGGACCATCCAAGAAGACCAAGGACCCATATCAGCACGGCACTTCAAAACCATAACCAGCAATGAGGACAACCCTTTAAACCCTAAGACACCCCTGGAAACAGGACCATTTCCTGAGATGGCCCTTCAGAACTGGGAAACAGCTGTATAAAACTAGGGACATAAGGCCAGTCTTCAAAGTTCAGGGACATTTATGGAGACGGCCCATGAAAACTACAGACACCCCTTAAAAACCAGAGACATTTATGGGGAAGGCCAATGAAGACCAGGGACATGGGGAAGGCCAGGGACATTTATGGGGAAGGCCAAAGAAGACCAGGGACATTTATGGGGAAGGCCAAAGAAGACCAGGGACATTTATGGGGAAGGCCAAAGAAGACCAGGGACATTTATGGGGAAGGCCAAAGAAGACCAGGGACATTTATGGGGAAGGCCAAAGAAGACCAGGGACATTTATGGGGAAAGCCAAAGAAGACCAGGGACATTTATGGGGAAGGCCAAAGAAGACCAGGGACATTTATGGGGAAAGCCAAAGAAGACCAGGGACATTTATGGGGAAAGCCAAAGAAGACCAGGGACATTTATGGGGAAGGCCAAAGAAGACCAGGGAAATGTATGGGGAAAGCCAATGAAGACCAGGGAAATGTATGGGGAAAGCCAAAGAAGACCAGGGAAATGTATGGGGAAGGCCAATGAAGACCAGGGAAATGTATGGGAAAGGCCAATGAAGACCAGGGAAATTCATGGGAAAGGCCAATGAAGACCAGGGAAATTTATGGGGAAGGGCAATGAAAATCCAGGATATTTATGGGGCAGCCATTGAAAATCACAGACATCCCTGGATTTATGGGGACCACACGAGATCAAGGACCCATATCAGCACGGCCCTTCAAAGCCATAACCAATGACGAGAACAACTCTTTAAGCCTTTGTACACTCCCGGAAACAGGAACAGTTCCTGAGATGATCCTTCAGAACCTGGGAAACATCTGTATAAAACCAGGGACATAAGGCCAGTCTTTGAAGTTCAGGGACATTTATGGGGAGAGCCCTTAAAAACCACAAACATCCCTGGAAAACCATGAGCATTTAAGGGGAGGGCCGAGGAAGACCAGGCACCTTTACGGGGAGGGCCGAGGAAGACCAGGCACCTTTACGGGGAGGGCCGAGGAAGACCAGGCACCTTTACGGGGAGGGCCGAGGAAGACCAGGCACCTTTACGGGGGAGGGCCGAGGAAGACCAGGCACCTTTACGGGGAGGGCCGAGGAAGACCAGGCACCTTTACGGGGAGGGCAGAGGAAGACCAGGCACCTTTATGGAGATGACCAATGAAAATCCAGGATATTCATGGGGACAGAACTTGAAAATCATGGACATCCCTGGATTTATGGGGACCACCCAAAAAGTGAAGCAAAGAGAAAAAAAAAAGCGCACCAACCTTGCGCATTACCTCAGTAAACCAATTTTATTGAATACAAAAATATACTCACAAGGAAGTACTTCAAGCATGTCAGTTCTCAAAGGAACTATGGAATGGTAAGACCTGCGCGAGTCCCATCAAGGGAAGGACACTCAGGGATCAGCTGACGAGTTTCGAAGGATGTTGATGAAGAAGGAACATCCTTTCGAAACGCGTCAGTTAATTCCTGAGTGTCCTTCCCTATGATGGGACTCGCGCAGGTCTTACCATTCCATAGTTCCTTTGAGAACTGACATGCTTGAAGTACTTCCTTGTGAGTATATTTTTGTATTCAATAAAATTGGCTTACTGAGGTAATGCGCAAGGTTGGTGCGCTTCTTTTTTGTCTTCGCTTCACAGTATTGGTGGGGCTTCCCCAGCCTTGTTTGGAGCTGCACAACCCCATATGCACAGATGGTCGAATTTGTTCAAGTTCTGGTTCCATCCATCCACCTCCTTTGGGTCTCAGAGCGCAGGAGAGTTAGTTTCTATTTGGACCACCCAAAAAGACCAGGGACCCATATCAGCACGAAACACAAAACAATAACCAGTGATGAGGACAACCGGTCAAACCCGACGACGGTCCTGGAAACAGAAACATTTCCTGAGATGATCCTTCAGAACCATAGAACCATATAAAACAGACCGGGACTCATATAAAGAACCGGGGACTCTTATATATATGGACGGCCCTCGAAGACCGGGGACTCTTATATGGACGGCCCTCGAAGACCGGGGACTCTTATATGGACGGCCCTCGAAGACCGGGGACTCTTATATGGACGGCCCTCGAAGACCGGGGACTCCTATATGGACGGCCCTCGAAGACCGGGGACTCCTATAATGGACGGCCCTCGAAGACCGGGGACTCCTATATGGACGGCCCTCGAAGACCGGGGACTCCTATATGGACGGCCCTCGAAGACCGGGGACTCCTATATGGACGGCCCGGCCCTCGAAGACCGGGGACTCCTATATGGACGGCCCTCGAAGACCGGGGACTCCTATATGGACGGCCCTCGAAGACCGGGGACTCTTATATGGACGGCCCTCGAAGACCGGGGACTCTTATATGGACGGCCCTCGAAGACCGGGGACTCTTATATGGACGGCCCTCGAAGTCCGGGGACTCTTATATGGACGGCCCTCGAAGTCCGGGGACTCTTATATGGACGGCCCTCGAAGTCCGGGGACTCTTATATGGACGGCCCTCGAAGTCCGGGGACTCTTTATAAGGACGGCCCTCGAAGTCCGGGGACTCCTATATGGACGGACGGCCCTCGAAGACCAGGGACAATTATGGGGACAGTCTTATGACACCAGGTGCATCTATAGGGACAGACAGTAAACACCAGGGACTCTCTTAGGGAAAAGCCTATCAATCCAGAGTATCTATGAGGACAGTCCTTGGAAATCAGGAACATTTATGGGGACGGTCTTTGGAAATGATGGACATTGATGGGGGACGCCCCCAGAAGCCGAGGACACTCTACAGTCCCGGTGGTCCCTGCAAATGATCTCAGACTGACACAATACAGACAACTGCCTGGGCAGCCCGGGGGAGCTCGGTGTCCGCCCTCCACACTCACCAACATCCTGCTCGAAGGGGTTGGCGCTGAAGAGCGGCATGCTGGCGGCGGTGGGCTCGGTTGGGCCCCGGTCACCCTCTTCCTTGTCCGACTTCTCCCGTCACAACAAGCTGGAGCCGCACTGGCTTTACCCGGGCTGCCCTCCTTCCGCCTGTCTGCAACGTCTCACACAACCGCGTCCCGCCACACGCTAAATCCAATTCTCACACCGCGACCGAGTTCCAATATTCACTACCGACTACCACAGGAATGATTGGTGTCTTCCCTGGGCTCTTCCGACTGGTATTCAAATGTAGGCGTTGCATTGGGCAGCTTATCCGGAGGCCCTTAGCTCTTGTGAGGGCCCCGGCAGAAGGAAGGGCAGGTAGGCTGGGAGAAGAAATGTCACGTGGGTGACGTCATCGGCCTAATGGCGCCCCAGGAGCTCTGACGTTGTGGCTGTATATGTGATAGTGATGGGTTGAGAAAGTCAAACTAAAGGCATTTTTTTAAATTTTGAATGGAGTAAGGGAGTGTAATAACCCTTTAACACATTTGTTTTTTATTGTGTATCCCCATTGGGTAGATTTTCCTTCCACTTCCTGTCACATAGACGAAACAGGAAGTAAGAGCAAGAGAATACCTGGTTGTCACAAGCACTAGTGTCCCCATTGGATTTTCTTCTATTCCTGTTCTGATGACAACCAGAAAATTGGGATTTTCATTTCCTTTCACTTGGTGTATAAAATAAATATGACAGACTGACTCTTCCTAACGGGAGCCCAGACTAATACAAACCTGACGGGTTCTAATCCCTCTGTATTCTATGTAAAACTGAACATTTTCATTAAGGTGTACTTTAACATGAATCTCCAACCAAAAAAAGTTTTGTTTTTTAGCTTTGGAGAGTGGGGAGGGGTAGGTTGTACGTGGTTCTGTAACCCCATTCAGGAGGTTTTCCCCTCACTTCCTGTGCAGGTGACAACATTCCCTGGAATTCATATAGAGTGTTGTAGTGTCGTTAGAATTCTGTGTGACTTCAAGTGAAGCACATGATCCAGTGTGAACCCGGGCTAAAACCTGGAAGCTGATTGGTTTCTATGCAGAGCTGCACCAGATTTAGCACTTTTCAGTTGTAGTAAATCAACTCCAATGTGTTAAAAATAGCAAGAAACCTGTCACCCCCCCTTAATGAATTTGATTCAGGAGGTTCTAATACAACCATTCCGCCAGAAATGCATCACAAATGCCTTATTGAATCGCTTATTCTACACACCTCCCTCCCACTGTCCTGATTACAGTCCGTCTTCAGGACAAGAAGTGATGGCAAATCCCCTCCATAAAACCTTAGACAGAAATAAATACTTCTAAACACTTGACAGGGACTTTAACTGCTGTTCCACCGCCCTGTAGTAGAACTATTGCTACAGGGTGGCAGGGCTGTGCACAATCATGTATATAATATGTGATTTGCTTTTATGGGTAGGGGCGGACTGACCATTTGGAAACTTGGGCACTGTCCGAGGGCCCGGGGTCAATAGGGGGCCCCATGAAATGCCCCTGGTACCTTTTTCATAGGCTTTTTTGAGTTTGGGCAAGGACACAGGGGCCCCATGATCCCCTATTGCCCGGGGGCCCCATGAGTTGTCAATCTGCCCCTGGTAGGGGAGCACACGCACGCCACCCTACCCGTGCTCACATTGGCAGGTAGGCATCTCAAGCACCGGGTCCCGGCTGGAGATTCCCCACCAGGACCATGCGATCACAAAGCTGATAGGAGATATACAACACAGGTCTCTCTCCTGCCAGCAAGGACATGCTGCTTTGTATCTCTCTGCATAGCAGAGAAATACAAAGCAGCATGTCTCCCTAGTAAAACACACACAGTTAAACACACACAGCACACAGTTAACCCTTTGATCGCCCAAACGTTAACCCCTTCCTTCCCAGTGTCATTAGTTCAGTGTCAGTGCTTTTTATTAGCACTGATCACTGTATTAGTGCCACTTGGGATGTCACTGGCAGTTAGACAGTTCCCCCCCAGTGATAGAATGCCTGCCGCTCTCCCACAGTCCCACTATAAGTCGCTGATCACCTCCATTACTAGTATAAATTTTTTTTTTTAAATTCCAGTATCTATAACCCGCCATTTGTAGACGCTATAACTTTCACGTAAACCAATCAATTTACATGTATTGGGATTTTTTCTTAGCAAAGACCTGTAGCAGAATACAATTTGGCCTAAATGTATGCTGAAATTTGATTTTTTAACATTTTTTATTGGATGTTTTATAGCAAAAAGTTAAAAACAATTTTTTTTTACAAAAATTGTCGGTCTTTTTTTATTTATAGCGAACAAAATAAAACCCACAGAGGTGATCAAATACCACTGAAAGAAAGCTCTATTTGTGGGAAAAAAGGACATAAATCTCATTTATGTACAGCGTTGCATGATCAGTTTAAAATATTGCATTGTATCGCAAAAAATAGCCTGATCAGGAAGGGGGGTAAATCCTCTGGAGGGCAAGTGGTTAAATAGGAACTAAACCCTTATATCCTTTACAGCCAAGGAAGCCGCCATCTTCACCTCTGTATGATCCGCATGTGTCAGAGTGAGATGTGATCAGTTATGGCACCAGCCATTTAATGGCTTGGCAGTTCCGTTGAACGCTAACATAAGTACACTAGTGACTGTAACAATTGTCATTTATGGCATAATGTGAATGTAACTGTTTTGGGAAACAGTTCAAGTGAAACCAAACCCTTCTATCTAACTGCTTTTGGAAACAGTTAAAACAATAGGATTAAGCTGGTCATACACAAGTAGATTTTCAAACAAACATTCATAAGAAATTTTTCACTACATTTGATGTGGAACTAAACCCATCAATCTTAACAGTTTCAAAAAACAGTTACTTTATATTTCCAGCATGCCGGGATTGCTATCTGTCACATTTGATTGTGTTCTCAAGCAAACTGTCAAACCATCAAATGGCTGGTGTCCTAACTGATCACATGTGCAGCATCATGACAGTTGCAGATCAAACAGAGGCCAAGAATGGCAGCTTCCTAGGAAGAAAAGGGTAGGAGGGTTTAGTTCCACTTTAATGGCTTGAAAAATGTCATTCGGAAGCAGTTCAAAATTGAATTTGCTTTTAAAATTTGATTTTGAAACAAACTTACTTTACCAAATGAAAACCATATACACCATTAGAATGTCATTCCTATGAGAAAAAAAATTCATTCTGTTTTCTTCAAATTTTTTCGATACTGTGACGAAAATTGATTTGACACCATTGCTGATTAGAATATTAAACAAATGTTCTTAACACCTCCCGTCCCTTTAAGGGTTTCAGAAGGCGATACGCAGAGATGAAAGAAATCCTCCTACATCAGTTGTCTCTACTTATCTGCAGTCTTCTCTACATCTACTCATAGTGCTGAAGTTATATAGCTTGTCTGAGAGTTCAAAGAAAAGGGGGCGGGGCTGTACATTACCATTCGGCGTGAACAATTGTTTTCCATGTGCCCTGGCATTGAGGATGTGTTGATCTATGATAATGATGAAGATAAACACAGCTCAGCAGATGTGCTGTAAACATGCTCTTGATAGAAGGGATGACTAGATTAAAGTATTTTGCGAATACAAACTGAAATCCCAACAGAAAGCAAAAGGGTGTAAAGCTGACCATACATGGACCAAAATTTGGCCAGTTCAGCAGGGACCGGGCTGAAATTGATCCATCTATGGGCAGGCTGATTGTACTGAAGTTGATCCGTCAATCAAATTGGGTACAACCAGCTTGGGGTTTTTTAATATGAGATTACTGCCAGTGGATACAACTGCTAGCTGTAATCATTGTGTTCTGCAGGCAGGGAATGATCCCCGTTTCCCAGCCCCGCCCCCCCCCTGCTTCACTGCTGCTGGCAGGACACAATAGTGCTGAGGGAGGGATTCCCCCATCAATGCTGACTGTATTGATGGGGGAATGGAGCAATGGTGGAAGGAAAGGAAACTGAATCATCTATAGGCTGCTAAAGAATGGTTAAGGCCTTAACAAATCTTTTGAGGCTGTTACAACATATGCAAGTCAGCTCTGATTGCTAAAAACTACATCCTCTCTACTAACTAGTAAATTAAATCCTGACATTATATGTACAAAGGCCTCTGTGCTGAAGAAGCTAACTTACTATTTATAAAGCTGTGAAATTTACCAAATATTCACTGAAAGTGGACTGTCCAGGTTCATGTGTTTTAGCCCTGCTTCTCCTTCTCTATTTGTCCATTATCACCGAAAGTGAAAGAAAATCCAAAAATTTGGATTGTCACCGGAGCAGAAACGCAGGGGAAAATCTTCCAATGGGGGCACTAGTTCTAGTGACCCTAGTGTGAAAACAAGGGATTTCCTCTCACTTCATATGGGATAGGAAGTGGAGAGAAATCTCTTCAATGGGACACAGACGGCAAAAAAAAAAAATTAAATTCACCTGCATTGAAGATCACAATCTGGTTAGTTTACATATTGTAGTCATATAATTCACTTTAATCTAGTTTACATCATTGATACAGTTCAGGTAACTACACAGGTGCTGGAGTATGATTATCAGTGGACCTCAGAGGTTACTACAGGGCATATTGTGACCCTATAGTTTAGCTATCCAGCATTGTGGTTTTTCATTCAGAATAATGGCAACCAATCCACTGTGACCAATACTAAACCAGGTAATGTAAGATGACTTCAGCTCTGCTCTCCACCCACAGGAGAGGTCCTGCACAGGGGGCGGACTGATAACTCATGGGCCCCCCGGGCAATAGGATCATGGGGCCCCTGTGTCCTTGCCCAAACTCAAAAAAGCCTATGAAAAATGTACCAGGGTCATCTCATGGGGCCCCCTACTGACCCCGGGCCCTCGGGCAGTGCCCGAGTTTCCAAATGGTCAGTCCGCCCCTGGTCCTGCATACACGATTGCCCCATAGTGGGGCATCACTAACAAAAATGATTAGTTTAGGTACTCTTTGTTTGTTTGGTAATTCATTAGGAGACAAGTTTTCTTTAAACA